TCTCCTGCCACTCGGGGTCAAATCCCCGGCACCTTCCCTCATCCGGTCGAGACCCTGCCCGTGTCTGCGGTGAGGCGATCGCTCTCTTTCGCGGCTGTCTCCAGCATTTTCACTGCTCACGGCAACATTGCCACATGTGCACAGCTCAGCGCCACACTGCCTCATTCAGCGCAACACTGCTAATTCTGCGCAACACTGCTCATTTGGCGCAGGATACTGTTGGTAACGCTCACCATTTGCCGTACTGTTCCCCGCTGAGTCAAACACATTTCCAACTCAGTTGCCCTCGTAGCTTTCCACGAAGACATACGTCGACGCTTTGTGGTGTCGGATTGGTCTGACTCGTGCGTTTCTCCAGGTGCTAATGCCATCCCGGATTGAGGAGCTTGCTGTCGAGCGGCACGGTCGGTCGGAGGCCATGATCGCGACGAGGTGTGAATTGGAAGGTATGGACGGGAAGAGGACCGTGTGAGGATGTAAAAAGGTGATATAGGGTGTGTTGTGTGATTGTTGGTGTGTGTAATTCGTATTATCGAGGTGAAGAAAATGCGGTCGGCTTGCTCTTTCGTAAGAGCCCCTATAGCTCAGTGGTAGAGCACCCGCTTAGTAAGCGGAAGGTCGGTAGTTCAATCCTGCCTGGGGGCAAATTCCTTGCAATCGTTTCACATCCGATATCTCTCCGTGTCGGTCGTGAGCGAGCCGTGCTTCGCGGCGTCTTTGCTCTTTTGCCCCTTTGCCACATTGCCCTTGTGCACGCACATGCACACATTGCTCATTCAGCGCAACACTGCTAATTCTGCGCACACTGCTCATTTGGCGCAGGATACTGTTGGTAACGCTCACCATTTGCCGTACTGTTCCCCGCTGAGTCAAACACATTTCCAACTCAGTTGCCCTCGTAGCTTTCCACGAAGACATACGTCGCCGCTTTGTGGTGTCGGATTGGTCTGACTCGTGAGTTTCTCCAGGTGCTAATGCCAACCCGGAATGACGAGCTTGCTGTCGAGCGGCACGGTCGGTCGGAGGCCATGATCGCGACGAGGTGTGAATTGGAAGGTATGGACGGGAAGAGGACCGTGTGAGGATGTGAGAAGGTGATATAGGGTGTGTTGTGTGATTGTTGGTGTGTGTAATTCGTATTATCGAGGTGAAGAAAATGCGGTCGGCTTGCTCTTTCGTAAGAGCCCCTATAGCTCAGTGGTAGAGCACCCGCTTAGTAAGCGGAAGGTCGGTAGTTCAATCCTGCCTGGGGGCAAATTCCTTGCAATCGTTTCACATCCGATACATCTCCGTGTCGGTCGTGAGCGAGCCGTGCTTCGCGGCGTCTTTGCTCTTTTGCCCCTTTGCCACATTGCCCTTGTGCACGCACATGCACACATTGCTCATTCAGCGCAACACTGCTAATTCTGCGCAACACTGCTCATTCGGCGCAGGATACTGTTAGTAACGCTCATCATTTGCCGTACTGTTCCCCGCTGAGTCAAACACATTTCCAACTCAGTTGCTCTCGTAGCTTTCCACGAAGACATACGTCGCCGCTTTGTTGTGTCGGATTAGTCTGACGCGTGAATTTCTCCAGGTGCTAATGCCAACCCGGAATGACGAGCTTGCTGTCGAGCGGCACGGTCGGTCGGAGGCCATGATCGCGACGAGGTGTGAATTGGAAGGTATGGACGGGAAGAGGACCGTGTGAGGATGTGAGAAGGTGATATAGGGGAGGAGACAGTGATGGCAGAAATGGATTAAAGGCGCCTTTATGGCAGTTTAGGCGAGTATAAACAATTCTATTTCTCAGGCCGTTTCGCAAACAAACGGCTGTTCTGTAATGCTGAAACTTAGCGCAACGTTTCTACAAAGTTTCAACCGTCAATTCAAAGTTTTAACAGAAATGATATTTTTGAAAAGGCGAGATTTTTGCCAATCACAGCTTTTCACGATAATCAAATTGATTGGTCAAAACTCTCAGGAAACGAAAAAGCACAAGTCAAGACCGGGATAATGGTACGAAGTCGTCGCCTGTGTTTGTGTCTCCTGTGTTAGTTAATCCCCGTTATTATATGCGCGCAGTTCTTCTACTCGTTCTTTAAGACGCTGGTCGGCAAGGAAGTGGCCGTAGAGCTCAAGAACGACGTCGCGCTCATGGGTGTGCTCGACTCTGTGGATCAGTATCTCAACATCAAGCTCCTCAACGTGTCGGTCGTGGAAGGCGACAAGTTTCCGCAGCTGGTACCTTACAAAACTTAAGACACTTGTCTCGCAGCCTCTAACTCCTGGTGTATCTATCTAACACTCGCAGATGAACATGAAGAACTGCTTTATCCGCGGAAGTTCCATCCGCTACGTTCAGATCCCGGCGGGAGAAGTGGACACAGAGCTTCTACAAGACGCGGCACGTCGTGAGGCCACCGCCAACAAACAGAGCTAGAGGAGGACACAGGAGATAGTTGGAATATCTTAATAGGACCAGAATCCTTTGGTTCATAGCATCCACTATGTCTCCTGCAATCAAGCCGACAGTCGATGATCATTGTTGTGTAAGAGGAGTCTGTTGCACAGGTTTTGCTGGATGATGCCAGTCGGATGATATAGTTTTTGGTTGCGTAAGACGTTGGCGAAGGAGCCGGGGTATAGCTACTCCGGGCTACGCGCCGACTATTGCAGCCCTCCGCTTCGCTGCGGGTGCAAACGGTCTCTCTAAGCCCTCATTTTGCATGGGTTTGCATGCGTCTCACCCTCGAAACGATGGATGACCTTCAGTGTACTCGACCTTCTTCCGATTGTACCGGTATATCCATGATTTCTGTCCAGTTCTTATAATATAGTTTTGAAAATTTAACTGTACTCGGGATTTTTTTTCGTGTACTCGGGGTCAGCCTCTTTTCGCGACATCGCTGGCATCTCACC